CAGTGGTGGGACCAAGTCATCGTTTTGCAAGCCTCAAGTAAGTCCCAAATCTTTGACCTCAAGTCCGAGACAAGTCCCAAGTCAAATACAGGGAAGTCCAAGTCGAGTCTCGAGTTACTGGCTAATAAGTCCAAGTCAAGTTCATGTCGTCTGCTTTGAGCTTCAAGTCATTTCAAAACCAAAACCAAAGTACCAAATATATCTTAGATTTTTGCAATTTATATGACTTTTAAGATAAATTGTACTTATAAACTCACAGTATATTTATATATGAGTTTTTATAGGGTATATTAGAGTTGTAGAAATGCAAAATTTTCCTTTTTAAATGTCTTGACAAGATCTTAGAGAGAATCATTACATAATAGAACAAATTCAGATTTAGAAGTGCTTCTCCAGTCTTCTCATGTCACAAGCCTCAAGTCCGAGTCAAGTCCCAAGTCACTGGACTTCAACTCCAAGTCGAGTCCCAAGTCTTAGTCCATTTTATCAAGTCAAGTCTTAAGTCCTAAAAATAGTGACTCAAGTCTGACTCAAGTCCAAGTCACAACTTGCAAATCCCCACCTCTGGTAACTGCCATTTCAACTACTGACTACTTAAAGATGCGTTGTGTAACTGTTCTGGTGAAGGGTCCATAAAATGACTTTCTCCATGGAAATGAATAAATGAATGATGGATTAAATTTTGTTTGTTTTAATTTATATTTTGTCTCTTATATATACAGTAAGTCGTAAGTGAAACTGTAAATGCAAACTTGTTCATACGCTGCTTTATGTCTTTCTGTACTTTTTACTTCATCCTAAACCCTTTCGGTCATGATCCATGGGGTTGTAGTTGTAGTATGTTTTGTTTTGTTTTGTAGTACTGCAAAATGACCAAATAAAACTACTACCACTACTATTACTACTACTACACCTTTCCATCTTCGTAGAGACCAAACCAGACCAAGTTACAGGAACGATCTGTGGAGAGGCGCCCCTGCTCACAGTCACAATACCTGTATTTTTAGATATTTTTGAGCTTTAAAAACATCTGTAATTTAATAAATGTTTAATGTCATACTACTGTAGAACATTCCAGGTAGAGCAACATGAGAAACAAGCAGATGACAGATCCTCCACCAGAAAAAAAAATAAAATTACACTCTTATCTGTGAAATAATATAACAAGCAATATTTGATTTAAACATGTTTATAGGGCATGTCTTTTAAAAGTAGAAGTGCAATACAAATTCTACATACACTACCCTTTATAATGCTTCATAATAAAATGCTGAACATTTTAAACCTGCACATGTGTTTATAAAGTGCCTGTGCTCTATACAGTTTGCTGATATAAGCAAATCCCAGATGTCTAAATGCTTATATTGTGCGAATGCTAATACTCATATTGTGCAGGAGCAGTTGCCTCAAGGGGCTGACAGCGCTATTTGAGTTACCATTCAAAGGTCAAAAGGTCAATTGGGCAGCTAGCATCAATGTACGAAGACAAACTTCCCCAGTCTATTCTAATGTGACTGTGCCTTAAGTACCCACTAATGCTTACCTGGTCTGATAAAATCGCCTCTGCTGCGCTGCAAGAATCAACCTTCACTGTCCTTTCCTCCGGCCATTTTCCTAAACAAAGCGACGGGCTGATTGGGATGAGCCAGAAAAGAGGAAAAGATCAGGTTATAATGAATTTAAGAGCCATTAGAGACAAGAAGACTGAAATTGAATATGACTTTTTGGCGCATCTGGTGTTACCCTTAATAGCATTTGTCCAGTAAGGTTGATGATGGTTCAACCCTTTTCACCCGCCCTGCCTGCAGAATGAGATGTAGCTATACTCAAGAACATTGTTGCTACTACTACTTTTATATGCTAGAAACACCTCTTCCCAAGCAAACTATTATAACCTCTACTGCCATTTCTACTACTATTGTGTTTCTCTATTGCAATATTTTAAAGGGACAGTTCAGAATTTTGGACATAGGACCTAATTTCCTAATTTGCCAGAGTGTTGGAGACGTGTGGAGTCACTTTTTAAAATATTCCATCCACTCCTTGCATTTGCAGAGGTCGCTGGTGCTAGGCTAGTGCATGTCAATGGCCATAGTTAGCCTGCCAATAAAAACAGTCTTACCCACTCCATAAAACACACGAAGCAAATCTATTATTATGGCAGACTGTCGATGTAAATGTCTGTGTCAATAAAATAATTATAGAAGTAAAAACAACCTTGCATTTGAAAGATTTATGTCTGAGCAGCAGCAGCAAGTTGTACTTCTTGATAGAAAGCTTGGCAGCAGTGGATTGATATATGAGAAAATAGTCCCTCAACATGCGACAATTCATGCGATGCAAGGTTTGTTTTATTTCAAACATTATTCTATCATCACAGACATTTACACTGATAGCCTGGCGTAATAATTGTTTTGCTTCGAGTGTTTTATGGAGTGGGAAAGATTGAGAACTGGATGGAATATTTAAAAAAGTGTCTCCACACATCTCCAACACTCTAACTAACTAGGAAATGAGGTCCTATGTCCAAAATTCAGAACTGTTCCTTTAAGGGTAAAAAGTCACTGTACATTTTGAATCACAGAGGGCTTTTTGACTTATGTGGTGTTACCCTTAAAAGCATTTGTCCAGTAAAGCTGGTTCAATCCTAACCATCACAATATACTCTTGATGTGCCCTTGATCGAGACTCTTCACCCATCTTGTCTGCTGAATGCCTCAAGTACATTCTTGCTGCTACTTCTATTTTACTATGCTAGAAATACCTCTTACTAAGCCCATACTACAATTACAACCTCTACTGCTATTTCTAAAACTATTGTATTTCAGTGTAGCCATGCTGCTTCAGATTGCACTTAATATTGTGTTTCTCTGTCACAGTTTTATAAGGATTTTTCTTCTATATAATTACAGTACATTCTGCATCTGAACAAAAGTAGATGCGGCTTTTAATTATAATGAGCCGATGTAAGTCTTCTGAAAATAAGAGCAGGTGTTCAGCTATTCACACCACACAAAACAATACTGTATATAGCCTTAAGGTGTGAAACAGGCTGATAATATAAAATGTGTTGGAGGCTGAGGACTATAGATAAAAGTGTATTAAAAATTAAGAGAATGTGCTGCATGAAGTAACACGATGAGCCTTAGGAGTTGCGTTGGTGCAAGTTTACATGAGCTACAAACACGGGTTTCTGTATACAAATCTAGTGGATGAAAGTTTGCATACATTGTCAATTAAGAGTACAAGTTGAAATATCTGAGGTCGAGTGTATATTGTCAGTGAAGGAGAACTAATTTGTATTTCTCAATGCCCCCACCCTTTTAAAATGTATTTCTCAAACTGTGACAAATTTACTACTGGTTTCTTCAAGTGTGGTTTTCTCTGTAGTTCATGTATTTGTCGAGTTTTGTCAGTTTATTCCACCTTTCTGTCAGTCCTTCAGAATTAATAGTTTGTAACAAGTGTATTGTCAAATTTTAATCCAATAGTTTCAACCCAGTATCATCCTGATTTAGACCTGATAATAATAATAATAATAATAATAATAATAATAATAATAATAATAATAATAATAATAATAATAATAATAATAATAATAATGAAAAAAATTAAAACACTGAATATATATATATATGAAAAAAAAAACATTGTGCATTCTTGTATAAACAATGATTTTTAAATTTTTTTATTTATTTATTTTGGCTTGTTCAGTGATAACAAGATTAAGATAAATTAAAAAGTAGGCTAATAACCCCGTGAGGCCCCTTAATTATATAGAATATATATAGAATAATAAAGAAATAGACTGGAAAGGGCAAACCTCAGTTAAAGCCTCATCACAATTTGTCAAATTTAGCCCAGTCCTTTTTGTGGAATTATAGCGGCGCTTAGTGGACAGCAGAATGTACTGCAAACAACAAGCACGTGGAAACTAAACATACAATAATAAAAAATAAAATAAAATCTTTGTGCTGTTTATATGTTGTTCTCTTGCTTAAACCTAACACGCGCCCGAGCGTATGATAATTATTTCATAAATGTTTATTATTTGACCTGGCTTATATGAATTGTCTTTTTATTCTAAGCTATAGGCTGTAAAGGTGGGAGCAGAGTGAAAATGTCAACAGCCTGACTGCCCCATCGCTGTATGTAAAACTGCGTGAAAGGGGCACGCAGACAGAATAACAAACATCCCTGCAACAGCGTCAAGAGAAATGCGCATGGATCGGATCATGCATAATTTAGACGGGCCTATTGTTGAATCAGATGACAAGGGAGCACCCGCTGTAGTTTTTATGCTCGATATGATTTATGGATACTAAATATCTGGATGAAAATGAGAAGGGCTTTGCATCTTCTCCATCAGCGTCCCTGTTCTGCGCCATCATAGTTTTAATTCATCATAATCCCCCACGTGGCATCCCCATTTCGGTTAATCATTTCACACTTTCACATTATTATTTATTAAAAACTTTATCAACCCTGTCTTTGGGGCAATTTGGCTCCGTTGTGCATATTAAGTAAGCTATTTCTTGGCAATACTTATATATAAGCCTAATTGATCAAAACTTTAAGCTCGATTAAGTGCAGCATTGTTTGAAAACTTTGGATACAGGCCTAGATAGGATGCTGCAAAAGTTTCGAACATTTGTGTGAGCTTGATAGGACTAGGATCCCGTAAATAAGTAAATATAGATCAAATATTAGACTTTTAAAAATTTTGGTTCATTGGTTTAGGTCTAAATGCATTTAGGCTTTTTGCGCCCCTCCAAAGAACCGACTGAATTTAGTTTTTTTTGCGCCCCCCCTTCCAGAAGAAGGGCCTGCTACTAATGGGATTAAATGTTCAATCAACGTAATGAAAGGGGATTATGTGAATGAATTAAAGAATAAGTAAGTAAATAAATAGCCTAAACGTGCATAGATTTACGCAGAAAACCAGAGCCCACCCTCTGGACCACCCACATGTCCATATTTGTTGTGGAGGTGGGGGCTCCACGCGCTGCATGTTGGGATATGTGCTCTTGTTTACAGTACAGCAGCACAGTGCAATAACAACTATTATTTGAGCTAACATTGCTAATATTATATCTGTTTTAGCATCGATACTCAAGGAAATCGCAAGGGCTTAGTGCTAAACTGCGGATTGTTCGGTGTTTGCGGGTTGATTTGTCACAAAAATCTGATGTTGAAGTTTCTCTTGGAGGTGCTCGTGTGATTTTGCAGTGTCACAGTCCCATCAGCCGCTGCCCCAGGTCAGGTTAGTACATTACAAATCATGTGGTGTTAAAATAAAAGAGCTTTATCGTGGATGCATAGGTGTGCCTGGTTGTAAATAGATAATATGCCATAGCTGAAGTGTTAAAGGCTTAAAGGTTTATTGTGTTTGACTAGCACTAGCAAGGAAGAACAGCTGACAACTATTTTGCAATGTCATGTTGATGTTGAGCAGTCTAGGATGTTGACACGCTGCTGTTTTTATGCCTCTTTGCTGCTTAAAATATCAGTATTAAATTTATCAGTGACAACCCTTAAAGCCATAACACATTTTATTTATACATGACACCTGCTCATAGAATAATAAATAATGCAGCAGTTGTTTCTTGGCCTAAAAGAGAAAATGTGCTTTTGTTATCTATTTTTTGTTGCCTTCAGTATGTAAATGATCTATTATTAGTAGTAGCTGTAAGTTTACTTAGTGTGACCAGATTTGTAAAATAAAAACTGGGACACCCTGGTGTGTGGTGGTTGGTTATAATAAAATTGTGCATCAAGTGTGTAATTAAGGAAAATTGTTATGCATTTGGCCCATTCATGACTAACGTGTGTCAGTATATTCAGATTTTCTTTGTGTTTTGGTCATTTTTAAGCATACTTTTCTGTATTTTACCTAAACAAGTCACAATGTGTGCATCGCTTTACCATTGGCAGGTATCAAATTGGTTAAAAATAGGGACACCAGGGACATTTTTAATATAAAACTGGGACAAATCAATGGTTTTGGATGAATCCACTGGGACAGAGGACACAGGGCTCAAAACTGGGACTGTCCCGGGGAAATAGAGACGTCTGGTCACCCTAGGTTTACTACTAATATAAAACACTAAACACTAGTTAACTTGCAGAACAACATAATGAGTTATAGAAGTTACTTATTCAACCCTCCACAGTTAAATGTTGACCACCTAACATGATGTCACTTATTGAATGATAAGTTGATCTAGTAATTGTCCTATCCTAGTAACTGGCTTATTAATTGTCCATTGTGTGTGGAGTAGTAGGATTGTACTGGTTAGAAAATACTGACCTATCTTATAATTTTTCTTTAAATCCATGGAAGACTTGCTTGAGACGGCTACATCGCATTCAGAGGTTGAGAAAATACATAGAATAATGCCTTGTTTTATCATTGTTTGTCATTAACAGTGCCATTTCAGACCTGCAGGAGTTATACCATTTACAAGCTGAATGTAAGTTAAATCTTAACTTTTACTGTTAAGACTTATATTCAAGTTCTGCTTTTTAGAGTGTAATACTAATTTGCATTTTGTTAATTTTCTCTGAAATGCATTGTACTGACAACACAGCAATGACCTTGTAACCATGTTTGTTATTGTTCATTTAAAACACATAAATTTACCCTTCCCTTTCCCCTGACAGGAATAAATCAGCTGCCAAGACTCTAATCGAGCGGTACTTTCGGCAGCTCACAGACGGCTGTGGAAATGGCTCCTGCACAAATGAGTTCTGCGCCTCATCTCGAAACTTTAAACCTTTGGATAAAAATGCAGCAGCGGTCAAAGCTCTGGATCTGTTTAAGAACAATGCCAAACTCTGCGACCTGCACATCTCTAAGAAGGACCCACCCTCCATCTCTGGAGTGGACAGACAGTTCAGCACTGAGGACCGCAAAGGCGACTTCTCTGGTAAATTGTCTACACTCACAAAATAATTATAACTGCATAAATCACGTTTACATTACAAGAGAGTGAAGAAATGAAAAACCAGCCCAGCCTTTTATAGCTGGGTCTTGGGTTCCCCTCAATTGACTCGATTGGCCATTTATGCACAGCGCTTCATTTAACGACAGCCCTGAACCATAATGTAACAATTTCTCTTGAATGGCCAATTACCCCAATATCATCATTTAACTTTATGTTTTTAAAGGTCCTATATTACACAAAATGTTGAGTTTTAAACCATGTGCTTTTACCTCACCCAAAACATGTCCAGATTTGTGTTTTGTTTGAGTAATCCTTTATTATTAGACTGTCTACATCTCCAAAGCTCAGTATGTTTTCACCTTACGATGTCATGAAGCAGTAGTTTTCTTTTTTTTTTTACCTTCTGTTAAGTAACAATTGGCAATTCCAGGGCTGAAATTATCCAGATGGTTCTAGTGAAGATGTATTGAGTGGAGCACTTCCTGTATTACTCAGTCTAAATTATGCAAGGTTTGTGTGGTAAACATGTTCAAATGAAACCAAATGCAACTCCAGGTTTGTTTTTGATGAGGAAACAAGATTATAACATGAATACCGTAATATGAGCCCATATACATTTTTATCCCTTTATCAACAAAAAGATTTCATAATAATTAGGGATGTAACAATAACTGAAATATTATATGTTATTGTATCGTCAAAAGTTTCACAATAATATTGAAAGCTGTCACAATATATCGAATTATAAGTTCCTTTGCTTAAATGCTATCTTCTTTAGTAGCAACAGCTAATAAACATCGGTAACTACATATCCCATGATTCATTTCAGCGCAGACAACATGTAGATATATGTTTTTACTTGAATTCTTGGGATTCTGACAGTAATATTTCGCACCAAAATCTTGCCATGGTATTTTTAAAAACAAAAAAGTATCTTATCTAGAATTATATTTGCCACTCCGAAATATCGCAATAAATATCGTACCATGAGATTTGGATATCGTTACATCCCTAATAATAATTAAAGGTGTTCATAAGGATTTATTTATTCCTGAATGCCCTTTTCTCCCTACAGACATCCACCACCTGACCGAAAACAACATTTGTATGATGTTAAGTTACTGTGAAGAGGTCCACGATTTTTCTGCCGCTGCTCAAGCCATCGGGCGAGTTTTCTCCAACTCTGACTCTCTCATGAAGAGTTTTATAAGAGAAGACACCAAAAATACCACACAACCACCTCCCCAAAACCACCCAAACAAACAGGACGAATCAGAAATGGGTGCTGCTGCTTTTCCAAAACAAGACGCTAGTGAAATTTTGGACTTGAGTGATATCAATGTAGATGTTAATGTAGTGAGAAGAGTCTATGAAAAAATCTTATCTATTGACGAAATACACGGCGCTCTTGTGGACGCCCTGATTTTCCTTACGCCAAATTTGGAGCTGGATTTGGAGTACCTTGATGTGTATGAAACTAACCCTGACTACCTTAATATATTCATAATAGTAATGGAAAATACAAACCTCCATAGTCCTGAATATTTAGAAGTTGCTTTACCACAATTTTGCAAAGCTATGAGTAAACTACCGGAGGAGGCACTGGCCCGGTTAGCCAAAATCTGGTCCCAGTTCGGTCTGCCTCACATCCGCCGTATGATGGAGACATTTCAGCAAGTCATAACTTTCACTGTAGTCAGCAGCGAGTATGACACAGACAATTTAGTCAACGACGATGAGACGGTAGTAGCAGCAACTAAGTGCTTAAAAGTAGTTTTCTATGCAAGTCTTTTAGGAGGGGAGCTAGACGTAGGGAATAATGAAGAAGAGGAAGAGGATTTTGATTCAGAGGAGCTATCACTTCACGAGTTAATGGGAGAGGAGCGTATTTATAAGAAGGGACCAAGAGTGGACCCTTTGGAGACCGAACTAGGCATGAGAGCAATAGACAGTCGAAAACCACTCATCCCGTTTGAGGAGTTTATCAACGAGTCTCTCAATGAGGTTTTGGAGATGGACAAGGATTTTACGTTCTTCAAAGTGGATGAGGAAAGCAAGTTTTCGTTTCAGACCTGCCCCTTTATACTCAATACAATTACTAAGAATCAAGGGTTGTATTATGACAACAGGATCAGGATGTATGGAGAGAGGAGGCTGACAGCTTTCTACAGCATGATGCAAGGACGTGAGCCAACGCCTTTTCTAGAGCTAAAAGTGCGGAGAGACCATATTATTGATGATGCACTGATCCGAGTAAGGAACAAAATTACATAACAATATATTCATTAAAAAAAATCTAAAATAACAATGAATAGTGTTATTAATAGTGCTTTATAATGTGTTAAATTTGCAGCTGGAGATTATAGCCATGGAGAACCCATCTGACTTGAAGAAGCAGCTGGTGGTGGAGTTTGAAGGAGAGCAAGGTGTAGATGAAGGAGGCATTTCCAAAGAGTTTTTTCAATTGTTTTTAGAGGAGATTTTCAACCCAGACATAGGTGAGATGCAATTAGTGGAAATCTTTACTGCAAATTGTCTTCTGTTTCTTATTTGGTGCTACTACTGGTCACCACACATTAGACAACCTTGCAGTACATCTATTTGAAATCTTAGGGTTTTTTTCTTCTTTGGACAGGAATGTTCAGATATGACGAGGACACTAAGCTGTTCTGGTTCAACCCGTCGTCTCTGGAGAACGACGCCCAGTTCACTCTGATTGGAATTGTCCTGGGTTTGGCCATTTACAACAACTGTATTCTGGATGTGCACTTCCCCATGGTGGTGTACCGGAAACTCATGGGCAAAAAGGGCACCTACCAGGACTTGGCCGACCTCAACCCGGTAACTATAACATTTGTGCATTGCTTGTATTTTAAAACATAAATCTGGTTTCCTGTCATTTTGATTTCAAGGTATTTTTACTATTCAGACCTTGGCAACTAAACCATATGTTGACGTGCATTTTCCTTGTTATTACGTTCCTTGACATGTTATAAAATAAGTCAACATTGCTTTGTTGTATTTTGTCCTGTACAGATGTTATTTAAGAGTCTAAAGGATTTGTTGGAGTACACTGGGAATGTGCAGGATGACCTGAGCTGACCTTTCAGATCTCTCAAACCGACCTTTTCGGAAACCCAACTTTATACGACCTCAAGGAAAAGGGAGACCAGATACCAGTAACCAAAGAAAATAGACAGGTGAGGGATAATGATACAGTATGTACACACTACTGATTTGTTGTTAAATATATTGCGCTTTAATTATGTTTTTTTTCCTGTAGGAATTTGTAGAGATGTATGCTGACTACATCCTGAACAAAAGTGTGGAATGCCAATTCAAAGCATTTAAAAAAGGATTTCTAATGGTCACCAATGAATCACCACTGAAATATTTGTACAGACCCGAGGAGGTGGAGTTGCTCATCTGTGGAAGCAGGGTAAAAAGTTATAGTTTATTTTGTTCTTCATAGTTTTAGCAGCCTAATATTTGTTATTGTAACAAATGCTTGTATAATAGCAACTGGACTTCGATGCACTTGAAAAGACAACAGATTATGATGGAGGATATAATAAGGACAGCCAAATAATCAAGTAAGTTTAATAGTTGCATACTTTTAATATAAATCTTGTAAACTTAGTTTCATCTGTTTTAATTGGTTGGCTGACATTGACACAGAGACTTCTGGGAGATAATCCACTCCTTCAGTGAGGAGCAGAAGAAGTTGTTTCTTCAGTTCACCACAGGGACAGACAGAGCTCCTGTCGGAGGACTCGGGAAACTCAAAATGATCATCGCCAAAAATGGACCGGATACTGACAGGTACAATTCAGCCAAATGTAAAAGCAATATTTCAGCAATATTCTTCTGATGTAGCAGGGTTTTTCCAGATTTTTTCATGTAATCAAGTAAAATTTGCTTTGACTCGGTACAGATATATGTTATCCACAGATCTTCTAGAATCTAATTATGTTTTTTTTTTTTTTTAATCAAATCAGGAAGTAATGCTGATGCACTGTTAGCATGCTAGTTATTGTTAGCAGTAGTGTGACTTCCAAACTTCACCATGACCACTGAAAGTTGTTCAACATGGATGTGAATATTTAAGATTCCAAGAATGAATTTGGAAAGTGAGGAATAACTTTTCACTGCTGCAAAAAGTTTATAATGAACTAGTCGTTAGCACAGTATAGCATCCATACACATTCACTAAACTTTCATTGCTCAGATTCCACCTCCACTAAACTATTTTGATGCTGTCAATCTTTTTTTGGGTGATACAAATGGCTTTCTTCCCCAGTAAACCAGCAGATGCAGACATTGCACCCTCTGCCTGTGTCTTGTATACATATTGCATGATATTTAACACTTTGAAGTATCTAGAGTGCAGACACATAAATTATACTGAAGGAAATACCAAAGTACCAGTAACAGGACCATTAATGTTCAGTATAATATTATTTTTCAGTATTCATATTTGTGTCATGAAAGAGGAATTCAGTTATCAATCCTAACTGACCATTCTGCTTAGTTTGAACTCAATTGTACTGTACTCATGGATCTATTAAAATAATTGTAACTGTACTGTACTGTACTATACCACACTATACTGTACCATACCACACTGTACTGTACCATACCACACTGTACTGTACCGTACTGTACTGTACTATATCACACTGTACTGTACTATACCACACTGTACTGTACCATACCACACTGTACTGTACTGTACATACTGCAGCTCTATTAGTAATGGTGTTTCCCATTGCATTGTTTTACAGATTACCAACCTCCCACACCTGCTTCAATGCCCTGCTGCTCCCAGAATACTCCTCCAAGGACAAACTGAGGGATCAACTCCTCAAGGCCATCACGTACGCCAAAGGATTTGGCCTGTTTTGATCTTTGTGAGGGGAAGGGTACTATAAGCATAACAGGGAAATGTCTTTTGCCAGAATATACTACTATAGTGCCTGTGCCTTACAAATTCATGGTGCTGTCTCTTTCCTGGTGGGCATTTTGAGTATTACACTCCATCAGGCTTATCAAAGATTTTGTTCACCTGTATTCAAATTATGTTTATAGTATTTTTTTTTTGTAGCATGGCATTTTTAAAACTGTGAAAGTGCACTGAGATTTATTGTTTTAACAAGTAGATATTTTATATAATGTAATTTATTTTTAGCCTTTTATTGCACGTGTAGACTGGTGTAGATTTCACAGACCACAATGGTGCTTTGAAGTATGGCTCTTGTCATAATGTAGCTGTTATTATGTGGCTGTGTAAGTTGCTAAATTCAGAGCTATATAATGCACAGTCGAGACAAGAGACAATGAAGTTCATACATTGCATACACCAAGAGATTTGAGTGCCTAAGTCACACTATTATGATACATTCAGGTTTGTATGTTTTCCTTTTGTTTGCTGTGATCACATTTTGCACATTTGCAGTGCCATTTTCATTGTAATTCTACACCTATATTTCAGTCAAATGTCTCAGGAACGTGCACAGATAATGCAAATTTGTTAACTCAGTCCACTGAACCCAAACTAATTTATTTGCATGAGATGGCATTGTTTTAGTTTGTTACTTATTCTTACAAAATTTAAACTTGCACCTCACTTTTTATCATTTTATTATTATTTACAACATTGCATATTTCCAATTTAGCACATTTGCTGACACAGAAAATGGGCATATTATGAATCAAATGCACGAGATGACAAATGAATTGCTGTATACAATAGCACAATGAACAATCGTGAAAAGGTCAATTATTTTTGTGCCGAAACTAAGCACATCTATTTAAACAAGTCTATAAAAAAAAAAAACTTTCCATGGTCTGGTAAACACTTGCAGGACATGAACCAACTGCCTTAATAAAGAATATACATCTGCATACACTGTACACATTTGACACAAGTTGAATGTACAAATTAAATATTAAAAATTGAAAAGCAAATTGTTTGACTATTGTACTTTTTTGTCCTTGTCAGCCACTACCTCAGACAGATCTTGCGGTTGTATGGATTTCACTTTTGCCTCCATGTCTGTGACCCTCTTCTTCATTCTGGTTTGTGTCGACGTGAACTCTGCCATGAGCTGTGCAAACTTACCCTGCATTGAATCCAAGTTAGTCTGCAATTTTACTATCTTTTCCTCCAGATCTTTAGGGTCCGCTCCTGCGTTAGCGACTGCCTCATCGATAAGGTTGTCTTTCATTAAAATGGCTTTACCTTTCTCTTCCAAGGCTTTTTTAGCTTCTGGGTACTCAGTTAAAGATTCCATCAAATCGTCTTTGGATAGGGCAAAAAGATCAGAATACCCCACACTACGGATATTTGCTGTTCGTCTATTCCCAGCTTTACTACCTTTGATTCCCAAAATACTAATTTCACCAAAGTATGCACCATCACTAAGCACTACAAACTGCGTTACCCCATCGTCGGCAACCACAGCCAGCTTCCCTTCTTTGATAATGTACATTTCTCTTCCAATATCTCCCTTTTTGCAAATATAATCTCCTGGGCTAAACACCTGTGGCTGCAGTTTGAGCACCAACTCAATCAACAACCCTGCTTCACAATCCTGGAAAATACGCACTTTCTTCAATGTATCCAAATGCACATTGATGGCGATTTCAGCTTTTAATTTATCAGGTAGGAATTTCAAGACTTCTTTCTCATCACATGTTTTCTTCTCTGTCCACAAATAGTCAAACCACTTGATCACCCTGGCTTCTAAATCCTTGGTGACTTTTCGAAACTGCATGTACTGTTTTATGGAGTCAATTTTGGCTTGAAATTCAGCACGGGAGGCATTCATGTTAGAAATCATAGCACCCACGTTACCGACGATACTAGCGAAAATAAGCACACCGGTTAAAAAATCAGCAATGACAAACAAAAACTCCACATCTTTGACTGGAGGTGGGGTCTCTCCAATGGTAGTGAGTGTCAAAGTGGACCAATATAAGGAATAAATGTATTTCCTTGCCAATCGTCCATGCTCCGGGTGGCTGATATTAGGATAAACCCAAGTGTCCGTCCCAAATCCAATTGTTTTTGAGATGGCAAAGAACATACATGCATTCCAGTGGATAATAACCAGGATGTAAAGCACAAGATTACTAATTCTGAACATGTTTGGGAAGCTGGTTCTGGTCTCAGTCCGCTCGAAGAACTCAAAAAGTCTGGCCATTTTACAAAGGCGGTTGAATCGAAACTCTGGATTATTGTATCCAAACTTAAAAAACAGCAGATCGGTTGGGATCATTGAAATCATGTCGTATTTGAACTGAGGTGTGGTTCTGTATTTGGCTCGCAATTTCTTGGCATCTTTTACCAGCAGACCCTGTTCCAGATATCCTGCAGAGAAGATTAGGGAAGATTAGACACCCAGCAGATACAGCTAACAAAGTCCTCTTCTTTTCCTTTCAGCCATTACACTGAATGATCTGGTCCTGTCCTATACTCTGCATCTTATCACATCAGCAAATCAGCTTCATGTCCTCCTTCACCACTAGGACTGTGTATCATTAAGAAGTTGCTGATACAATACATACCCGATACAGTGCACTTTTGATTCGATACGATATATTTCAAAACGATTTGATACGGTTCAATAAAAATAAAGGCTAAATAATGAATATGATACTAAAATCTTTGTTAAACCACTTCTTGTGCAAAGTTCATATGAAACACACCAATTTTACTCATCAAAACAGTGAAAATGTCAAATGTGTGGCATAAACGAGTTTCCTTCCACTGAAGAAGCAACAAAACTAGCGCTGTAACAAAATAATTGAGTAAAATATAACAAAAAATACGCTTGACAATATATCGATACAACAGCCCATGATATCGATGCTGTATCATCACATTAGGTGTTACAATATATCGATATTTTTGCACACCTCACCGACTAGGGCTCGTTTTAATTAAGAAGTTGCCGATACGATACATAACTCGATACAGTGCACTTTCGATTTGATATATTTCAAAATGATTCGATACGGTTCAATAAAAAATAAAGGCAAAATCATGGCTGTGATACGAAAAGTCTATGTTAAACCACTTCTTGTGCAAATTTAATATGATAAACGCCTGTTTTAATCATCAAAACAGTGAAAATATCAAATGTGTTGCATAAATAAGCTTCCTTTCTCTAAACAAGCAACAAAACTGTAGCACTGTAACAAAATAATTGAGTAAAATACACCAAAAAATACTCTTGGCGATATATCGATAGAGTAGCCCACGATATCAATACTGTATCATCACATTAAATGATATGATATATTGATATTTCGATATTTTTGCACACCCCTATTCACCACCATCTATGAATACCATCTTTTCACATTTCAACTTCTTTTATGTTTTTGGAAACACATGCCCAACTTGCTGTCTCATTCAGGTTACATCAGGGCTGTACATTCAGAGTACATCATAGTAGTAGTACGAGTATATAAGATAAAACTAGTTGGATGTGTTCAAGTTTGTAGATTCAAGACAAAAGTAAAAAAAAAAAAAAACTCAACATTTACAGTTATTTGTAGGGAAGTTTTAAGGTTCTGTCAATGTGAAAAATTAACCTGTAGGATTCTTTTGAGATTTTCAGAGCAGCTGGTATCATTCTTTCCTTCCCTCTACTGCGCCCCTGATTTGACTAGAAAGTACATGGAAAATTATTGGCAGTTCGAGATGCAGTGCGCATACTGTAAAGTAGGCTACATTTGCAATGCACATCTAAACCTAGGAGACCAATAAAATGAAGCAAATACATGACACACCTTGCATTAAACCTGAGCACTGTGGCATTATAAAACTGTGAGATTAGAATAAATCTAATAGCATATCATTCAATTTCCAATAGAGACTGACCCGTTCTTGACCGTACAAATGTATCTGTGTAATAGATGAAGTCTGAAGTGTAGTCGAGGAAAATCCACAACTTTGTGTAGGTGTCTTGCAGTTCATTAAAACACGCTCTGAGAAAAAAAAACACACACACACACACAAATGCGACAATAAAGAGTTAAATATTTTCATCTTAAGTCACAAAAATAAAACAACATTTTACCTTGTTACAATCATGATAAGATTGTAAAATACTGGTGCAGCGATAACAGTCAGCCATCTGTAATATATGTCTGCAGCTGGATCCATAATCCAGATTTCTTTCCTAAAAAATTCATCAACATCAATTCACATTAAAGTATGGTATGAAATCTTTAAAAATCTGTTCAAACTTTGGAAAATTCTTTACATTTTACTGGCATTTGTTACTGAAATCACAGTACTTACGGCGGTTCCTCTTTCTTTTTATCATCTTTTTTATCATCTTTCTTGTCATCCTTTTTTTCATCTTTCTTTTCATCTTTCTTTTCGTCCTTTTTCTCCTCTTCTTTTTTGTCGTCTTTCTTTTCGTCTTTTTTCTCTTCGTCTTTTTTCTCTTCTTCCTTTTTCTCTTCTTTTTTAATCTCATCTTTTTTGTCTTCCTTTTTGCTATAGATCACAGGTTCAATTTATTTTTATTTGTGGGATATAGGGATGAGGGCGTGCCACAGGGCTATAGGATCACTACCACTGAGGGTTTCTTGATCAGCTTTTGTTTTTCACCATTGTACAATGCAGGTCATACTCTGTCCAGCAGATGGCAGTACAAGGTAAGTTTTTTTTTCCCTTACTGTACAATCATACAATTGTGTTATAAATATTCTTCCTGCATTTTTTGGGTGAAAACAAGCAAAGGACCAGTGGACTTTAATGGGGAATGTAAAGAGAAATAGATACTAGGGAGGTATCTACAACAGTGGCTACTAGCTACTTTTTACTGAATGTATTGACTGAGTTCTACAATCCATATTCTGTTTTCTACTACTTTTTTTTTTTTTTTTTTTTTTACATTGTGCACACTTACTCATCTGTGTTGTTGCAGTTATTCATGTTGTAAGCAGCCAGAGGCCACTTGTTCGCAAGACTTGGAGAAAAAGGAAAAAGTAATGCTGTGTTTAAAATTTAACCACTTAATCAGCCTTGGTGTTTGCATTAACAAGAAATTATTTCAGTTTTTATTTTTGCAGTAAGGTCCCTGCTTTTTCAATTCAATGTGGTTTGTCCCTATATTCCAAAAGAACACTTTTCATTCAGCCGAGCAGCTCTCTCCACCCTGTTTTCTAGAATGCCTCGTATTTTGTGATTCTTCCGTAGAAGATCTTTCCCTTTACATCATTTGTAATGCTGCCTGGATCAGACTTTTACATTGAAATGTTCAGATCCTGCTCAGAAGTTTGAGGATGTGCATGTTTCTTCTTCATGAACACCCCATGTCCACCCACACCCACTACTGAATATTCATGCCTGCTCACTCACTTTCTCTTGCGTATTGCGTCATTAACCCCCACAGATTGGGTGGCGTTGCTCCCTCGACTTGCGATATCTTGGAGCTCTGGACCCCTGAATCTCTCCAGGAATGAGTCATGGCGCTCCTCCTCCATGTGACCTCTGTGTGTGACCCAGGAGCGCAGCATGAGGAAGAAGTGAGAGAGCCTACACAGTCAGGGCAGGAGACACACAGCAGTGACACCAGCCTACACTACACTCAGCATTATTCAAACATGTGTTATAATGGTGAGTTTACCGCGCCATCGCTCCAGCCCCTGTGAACGAGGCTCGGGTGGACAAGGCTCTGTCTGACACCTCTTCATCGCACGAATGAGCTCTGAAGCATTTAAATCAGGGGAAAAGAAAGATATTGATGAATTATAACAGAGGCAGTACATAACCACTAATACTACTAAAAAAACTAAAATTGTGCCAAAATCTAGTTATACACAAAACTTTTGACACATGATACAACTCTTTTACAGGAATCTATCTAGAATTTAGATAATGATCACAAGTACAAAAAATTTGTCCAGGTGCTGGTGTTCTTTAAGTATTACTGGTACTAAACATT